GATCTTCACTAAGGGCCAGTCATAAACTGTTTATGTGTTCAATTATCAATAAGCCCAAGTCTGTAGAAGGCCATAATGGCCCCGCTTTAAGTGGTCCGCTGCTCCCGCAGCTCACCACCCTGTCTCTGCCTCCACGCCATCTTGGATCTCCTTTTTTTTTTTACGATCTTTAGAATTTTGGATCCATTTTGTGTTTCTTTTTGTATATGATACGATGTGTAGGTCATGCTTCATTTTCTGCAAATTAAATATCCTATTTTGCTATCAGTGTTTCTTGAAGAGGCTGTTTTCTCCCACATAATGCATTTCATCTCTTTGTCAAAGATCAGTTGTCCATAGGTGAATTGATCTCTGTTGGTTGTCAATTCTATGCAGTTGGTGTATGTACCTGTCACTATACCAGTGCCAAATTGTTTTGATTACTGTAGCTACATTGTAGGTTTTGAGATCAGAAAGTGTAAGTGCTCCAGTTTGTTTTTATTCTTCAGTATCCCCTTTCTTATCTGAGGTCTCTTCCCTTTACATGTAAAATTGGTGATTACTTTTTCTATCTCTTAGAAAAATGATGACAGGATCTAGATTGGGATTGCATCATATCTACATAGATTGCTTTTAGTGTATTTAAACTTTCACAATGTTAGTCTTCCAATCAATGAACATAGTGTATTTTCTCATTTACATAGATCTCTTTGGGAAATACTTTTTAAAAAAATTATAAAAATTTAAAGAGCAAAATATTAACCCATTCAACAATATATGTATGTATCTATTCAGTGATAGTGAATACATTTTTAAAAATTACATAACCACTCTTGATATCTTTATCTATGTTATTCTCCAATCATCACTATAAACTCACTTCTTCCTTGCTTTGGTCGTTGTTGTTATGTGCCATTGAGTCACCTGTGAGTCATAGCGACACTATGCACAATAGCTCTGAACCTGGCCCTATCCTCAGCCAATCTCATTGACTTTGACACATCTACTCCCATTACCCTCGTTACTGTGTCAATTGATCTCATCCAGA